CAGGCAATTCTGTTGCAGTGTGCAAGAAGGTTTTCCTACCTGAGATTCATTTTGTGGCCACCCTGCCCAAAATAATACCTTTCATGAGCTTCTGGCCCTGGAGGATCATTCCCTTGGGAAACACAGTGCTCATTTCTGCTCCATCTTGTGTCTCCCTCTAGGATGCTCCTGTGGCACTCGGATCCACAGCCAGGGCTTGGTGGTACTGAGCAGGGCATGGGCCAGTGCTGAGCCCTCCACACTGGCAGGATGCAGCCCACCAACAAGCCAGTTTGATTTGGAATGGTCATGTGAGAGCAGAAATATGAGATCCCCTGCTGAGACCCTGAGCATCCCCATTTCTGGCTATAAACCCCCCTTCCAAGGAGGAGTCTTTAGAGAGCAGGGCTGAGATGACCCACAAGCCACAGCCATCCCCCGCCCCCTCCCCAAGAAGAATTGCTCTCACACAAATGAAATGTGTGTAATTAATGGGCAGGGGGCTGGACAGGTCTGAGATGAAAGCGTTTCCTGGACTTGTCCTTCATTTGCATGGTATCAGAAGCTGTTCAGAAGGTGTGACTTTTCCCACAGGGAGCCCTCAGTTCGGTGGCACAATAAAGCCAGAACTTCTTACCCAGAATTAATTAAAGGAGGGGGAGGGGGATGGCAGGGAAATGTTTGAAAGCTGAGCCTGATGCAATAAACAAACACCCCAGTCATCCTTCCCAAGCCAGAGTATGCCCAAGGGAGCCTGGGCAAGCCCCAGCCCTGCCACAGTATCTCACAGCCCACCCCACTCAGTGGGCATTCAGCAAAAGTTGGAAGGGCTGGAAGCCGAGGCAGCATGTGCTGAAAGGTTTGGGGCTTGGTGGATCAAGCCCTGGTGCAGCCCCTGCTCGGACAGCACAGGCCCCTTTTCTTGCCACTTCAGTTTATTCCTGCCCATCTACTGTTTCTCAGCTATAGGATCATATAAAGGTTTGGGTTAGAAGGGACCTTAAAGATCATCTAGTTCCCACCCCTCTGCCATGGGCAGGGACACCTTCCATTAGATCAAGTTGCTCAAAGTCCCATCAAACCTGGCCTTGAACACTTCCAGGAATGGGGCATTCACAACTGCTCTAGGCAACCAAAGCAGGACTTAACCTGAAAATAGCTCTTTATCCTGCCTGATGTCGACCTGATGTGTTCATCCCACATTTACTTCTTACCCCGTGTTGTTTGGCTGAACCAGAGAGGCTTCTCAGTGATCTCATGAGACAGACTTTCCCAAATGTTGCTCAGCTTCAGCCTTGTCACTGTGTCCAGATGGCATCACATGGTGAAGCCCTATATGGGGAGGGACATCCATGCACCACTGCCTGGAGCTTGGGAAGGGGCAGTCATCCTTTCACTGACAGTCAGAGCCGCAAGGCTCCTCTCCTGCTTCATCTGCCATCTCCCTCCAGGTGGAACAGCATTAGGAATGGAAACATACCCACCACAAGGACTTTGCTAGCTCGGAGCAGGGTTTTTGCCAGAACACCCACACTAACAGTATGAGTTAACAGAAGTAAGCACCCACCTCCAAAGCCTCCCATCCCCAGCACTCTCCTGCGTCCAGTCCTGCCTCAGCATCCTGCAGTCTCCAGAGTCTTCGGATGGCTGTGATTCCTAAGCTTGATCCACACACCTGCTGATGATGAGAGAGGAGGGAAAAGTCCCACATTCCTGGGCTGATGATTGACCCTATGTATTCTACCATCAGACAAGGTTTCTGCAACCTGGGAGGAACAGCATGTACCACCAGGGACTGTCCCCACCTCCCTGCATGGGTGGTGGGAGCTACCATCCCTGAGGACCATGTGCTTAGGACCACGCAGGGCACAGGTCTCCAGGAAGAGCATGAGCTCCTCCAGCCATATCGGGGACTAAGTGGTATCAGTGCAGAGACAGGGTATGAGGAACCATTAATTAATTCACTTACTCATTAACTAACTAGTAGTGATCTCTTTAATCTTTCAAGCAATCGTGGAACAACCTTCACAAGCTGAAAGCTGAAGCTGGGCAAATTCAAGCAATAAACAAAGTCCCAAGCTGTAGTGCTCCTAGGCAGCATGGCTGCCCAAAAGCCCTTTAATGAATGGTGGCTAATTAAGTACAGACCAACTGAGCTGGGGAAACAGGGGCTCCCCTCCCCGGAGCCAGCCTAGGTCTCCTCAGTGTGGCAGAGCAGATCACAGGAGTTAGGGGTGGTGTGTGGTAAAGAGCTGTGCAGGTTCACAGGGGTGTCCATAGCCAGCTCAAACCCCAGGGTGCTGGGTGCTCCCTGCACCAGCCCTTGGCTGCATTCCAGGATGACAGGGTTGGGGGAAAGCTTACTAGAGATTGAGCACCCATGCCCTGCCCTTCCCTGGCATCACTGGGGGACACATAACAAGGCAGGAAACATGGAGCCTCAGATTCACAAAGCCATTAGGAAAAGCAATTAGACAAACTAATGAAAGAAAAGCACCTGTTAAGGACTATCAAACACCAGTCTCTGCCTGGGGAAAGGCCAGGACCCATTCACTTTTAGTTCCTTTAGTCTGTAAACTGCAACATGAGCTTGCCTCAGCTCTGTCATCTTCAGGCTTCTGCAGTACTTGAGTCCCTCCTGAAACAGCTAGACAAATGCAATCTGTGCTGTCCTGTGGCCCAAGCAACATCCGTGATCTCCATGATGTAGTGGCGATGCTCAGGTGCAGAGCATGGCCGAGCACTCAGCCCCCAGTAGGTTTCTCTCCTTGAAGTCACTGATGTATATTGCCACCTCAGCTCCGGCTGCTGTGTCAGCCAGGGAAAGGCTTATCCTCACACCCACAGACAAGGCTCAGCCTGAGCACCAGCCAGGGCACAGGCAGCCCTTGGGATGGCAACACCACCCAGGCTGGCACCAGCAATGACAAGACTCACCTTGCAAGTTTGCTGCATTTATGGGATTTTAACATATTTCACAATTTTATTCTTGCTTGTTTCCATATCTGAGATCAATCCATATATGAATTCCTGTTCAGCTCCTGTAAGCAAGACCCAGCACCTCAGAAGGGTCAAGTATTCACCAAAGGAGGGGATCCAACAACCCATTTTGCACAGACACCAAGCTCTCCCAGCCCAGAGAGGAGCAAGTACCAGCTTTCTCTCTTGAAAAGCTTCATTCCATGCTTGAAAACATGCTCTGCACATGCTCCACTGGTCAAGGCTCCATTGCACTATATCCCCATTCAGCCCGCAATGGGCCTTGTTCCCACATGGAAAGGAGGTGGCATCTGTATATTAAACCTGAAATTTGTTGCAAACCTGAAAATTGTAAAACCATGATTTCCACAAGACTCACATGAATCCAAGAGCTTGGGACAGCCTCCCACTTCCCATAGTTCTTCCCTTGGGAAGGAAATTTTGCCAACTGGTAGCTTCAGCCCCATCCTGCACCTCACCGCCACACTTCTTCACTCCTTTCCAACTTACCTCTCCAGCCCCAACCCCCCACCCCGGAAAGCATCAGGCTCAGTTAGACTAATACAAACTTTTAATGCACATATTAAATAAATATTTCAATCATTTCATATTCAATTTGTACACAACCGAAACAGAACAAAAATCCTAAAGGAAACAGAAAAAACCCAAACAATCAAAAAAGATTGGATGAAAAGTCACCCCTTGTTCTGGCTCCTATCCAGTGTCTTTGTTTGCCCTCCCCGTGAAGAATAATTGCTTTAACCCTTTGGAGAGAGTCACAGTCCCAGGGCAGCATGTGCAGAGCGGGGCTGGCTGGGGATCTTCACTCAAGAGATTTAATGTTTCCTTTGGGGTTGGTTTTCCTTTTTTTTTCTAAATAGACAATTGGGCTTCTGTCAACACAGAAATTTTGAAAGAAACCCTCTCCTTTCGTAGAGGGACAAGGACATCAGTATTTCTTATCAAAGAGCAAACCTGGAAGAGACAGTTGGCAATGGAAGCACCAACTATTATGACAAAAATATTTAACATTATGACAAAACAGCCCAAAATGGTTCCACGATAATTTGTAAACTTTTTTTAATTTTATGGATGAAAACTTCTATCTGATAAAAAAATATAGACAGAAAAAAAAAATATCAGTTTTTGGTGAGAAGTTCACATTTTCCACATGGGAAAAAAAATAATACCAGTTACCAGCCTGCTCTATGGCAAGTCATACCTTAGTACTTTAAAACAAACCAAATGCCAAAGATGCTCCTGTGGGTAAGAGGTACCAAGTCAGTTCAGGACTTTCTCTGGGGCATTCATCACCCCTGTCCCCTCCTGAGATAAAAAAGTAAGTGGGGAGTTGCGAAGCCATCAGTGCTCTCAGAAGGATGCAAGTGGCTTCCAGCAACCCCTTGCTCAGCCGGAGAAATAGGTACACCTGAGGAAAGAAGGCATCCATGGTCCTCACCCCAGATGTCAGAGTCAGCTCCCATGGGCAGTGCCCACACAACACCCAGGAGGCCTCCAACCACCTCCAAAATAAATCCCCTCCCCTTAGTTATTTTCCAGCCTCTTCATCTTCTCCAGTAAGCATTAGTTCAGTTCATTTAAGTAGCACATCACTTCCAGATTTGGATTTCCATGTTTTTTCACTTGTTTGTTTTAAACATGATTTTTAAACTCCTTTTCTCCTAGAGCTACAAAAAAAAATAATTACAAAATAAAGTACGACCCCAAACAGACTAGAACATTTCTAAGTGAAGGGCTCTTCCCCTTCACCAGTCTTTGCATGTTTCATTACTTTTAAAGCTGGAGTACAAAAATAGAGCCTCTCTCATTTTTTTTTTTTTTTTTTTTTTAAAAACCAAACACCCCCCCAAAAGTATGAACAACTAGAGCAGGTAATTTTTTTTTTTATCCTCCCCCTCCCTTTTTTTTTTTTTTTTTTTTGTGTTTTGTTTAATACCCGAATGGGAAAGTCTCTACATATAGTCCACCGAGCTCAAAGGAGCATCCTCCAGGAGAGATGCAGGTAGGCGGGCAGGGGCAGGCACATCAAGGGCTCGCCCTGGAGCTGGAGTTTCTAGTCCTTTTACTTCTCCGGTTGAAGGGATAGTTGAGGAACTCAAAGCGTCTGTGGGGCTCGGTGGTCTGGTGGCCCTTGGGAAGCCTCTTCATGAAATGCACCTCCCGCTGGTGCTGCCGGGTCTTGGAGCCCTTGCGCGGGCGGCCCTTGCGGGTGAAGGCCATGTACCAGCCCTCGTACTTGGCATTCTGCAGCGCCGTGTAGTTGTTCTCCAGGACAATCTCCGTGAAGACGCAGTCCTTGCCTTTGCCGTTGCTCTGAAGGAAGCAACAGGAAGGGAGATTTAAGTAACAGATACTTGCTCAGAGGGCTGCTTCCCACTACCCCACCCTGGACTGGCTGGTGTGGCAGCAGGGTTGCAGTGCTTGTGGGCAACCAAGAGCTCACTTTTTCCCACTTCTCCCACAGTCAGAATTGCCCAAAATCTGCTTTTCCTTAAAAAGCTGCAGGGAGCAGGCACTGTGGCACAGGCAAACGCAGCTCACTGCAGCTTGTAACCTTAGTGTGATGCCAGCAGCAAGTCCCGATGCAGCTGGTCTCCACCTTCACTTCCACCACACCCATAAAGGAATTTTTGTCTCCATCTGTGCCATGGGCTGGACATGACCATAACCAAATTCTCCATCTCAGTTTGCCTATTCCCCTGGGGCCTTTAATATAGGAGGGGCACTGAGCGGCAGGAGAAGTGATGTGGGGTCAGTGGTGACAGTGCCCACAGATGCAGGTGGCAGAGGGAGCATGGGGCAGCTGGGAACTGAGCTCTCCCCATTATGAGCAGTAGTAGGACTAGGGAGGGACCCACATCAGGCAGCCCCAGCAAGGAGCTGCCATGGAAAATCCTTGCAGAAAATCACTGTCCTGGTGAGATTTTACACACCCAGTCCCCCGCCCCCAGAAAGGGGCATTGAGGCACTGAAGGAGCATGACAAACCAGCAGGCAGTGGGGCCCAGCCTTGGGGCCAGCCCCATGGAGCATCTTAACATTCCTGGCACTTGTACCATGTAATCGTGGAGAATAGACCAGCAATCCGCCTATTTGTTCGGGGAGATAGAAGGAATGTGCCCCACGCGACACCTGCCTGCCTTCTTTGCTCCCCTCCTTCCCTCCAGGCTGCAGGACAGCTTGTCTCCCTGCCCCTACATGGGGAGTGCTGACTGAAGCTTGCGACTCCGGTCTCACCTCCCCACCCACACAGGTGAGCTCTGTATCAGGTCAGAGCTCCTCTCCTAGCAGCCCCAGCTCCACATTCCCAGCAGTTCCCTGCCTTGCCCATGCCCTTGCATCCTACCTTGCCAATCAGCTTCCCCTTCTTGTTCATGCAGATGTAGAAACCTGTGGCTGCCCCCTTGATGCGCACACGGCTCCCAAAGGTGTCTGTCTCCACGATAAGCTTGGCTGGGGAGAGCAGAGAGAAGGAGGGATGTCAGAGGGGCTCTGGTATAGGGCAGGCACAGGTATGGAGACCTCAGCAATGCACCCTGATGCTGGGCACTGGGGGCACATGCACTCTGGCAACTGGCCAGAAAGAGCACTAAAATCAGGACACAAGGTTAAGATACAGCCTTAACCCCCCCTTACCCTGCCACTGTGTTCCTGCAGGACCTTGGTCACGTCCCTTTGCCACCCTGAGCTGTGCTGGATGGAGAGTAGCTCTGCTTTACCCGGCTCCACAGGGCTCAGTGGTGCAGGTACCACAGAGGTGTCCCAGACAGGGGCAGGGCAGCAAGCAGGGTACGCACTGGTTGGCAGAGAACAAACCAGCTGCCCTGCAAACCGAGGCAGGTCTGGGTGGGCCTGCAGGCAGGCTCCAGGCAAGCACCTTCTGGAAGTTCACAGTGTGCTGCCAGCTGTCCCCAGCCCAGGGGACACTGCTCCATGTCTCTCTGCCAGGTCAGGACTGCAGGAGGAGCAGTGACTTTGCAGCTGGCAGGGGAGGCGTGAAGGGTACGGCCATCCTTTTAATGCCTTTCACCTTTGCACGAGTCGAGAGGGCGTATTGATTTGGTCTCAGTTTTTTAATGGAGGCATCGATCGACTTCCGAAGGAGCTATGCAAATCGCCGGGTCGATGGGCCGCCTATAAATAGACCTGTCACCTTCTCTCCCTGCCTTCACCCTGGGAACCCATGCCCTGAAGCCCATCCATCCCCAGGGAAAGAGGAGGATGGGGACAGGACATCCTTCTCCCCGGTCCTGCAGCTGCTATCCCCAGAGCAAGCCCCAGTGAAGACAGTGGTTACCTGTTTGCACCTCAAAAGGTCTGCAGTGTGCCAAGCATCAAAGAATTCCCCATGGTGCTGAAAAGCCACTTGGGACTGTCCCGCCTCAACACCATCACCTCTTGCCCAGCATCAGCTCCTAGTGCCACAAACGCTATTCGACAAGGTGATCAGAGTGCAGGCCACAAAGTGTCCAAGTCTACAGACTTATTACAGGTTTGAGTCCGTTGGTGCCTTATTTATCCTCTGTAATCTCTGCACAAGGGCTGCTCAGTTCCTCAGGACTGCAGTGCACCACAGCTTGCACACCCTTACCCCAGGATGCTCAGCCTCCAGCAAGCCCCACTGAGAGCAGCGATGTGGCTCCGGAGCGGGAGGCTCTGCAGCAGGATATTTTGAATGGCAGAAGGAGGATGTGGGTACACACACAAGCTAAAGCAAGCCTAAATCACACTCTGGGCTAGGAGCAAATTTCCTCTGTCTCTGTGTCATGTCACTCTACAATGCCTTGGTCCTGCACACCTCACATCATGGACACTGTTGAGGTCAATGGCACTGAGGGTGGGAACAGCAGTCAGTGCTGGCCTCAGCTGAATTGACCAATGAAAAGATCATCCCCAGATTTGCTGGGGCCAACTGATTTGGTGCTGTCAGGCAGGCCAGGCTTGACATGCACGCAGGTACCCCCTCCATGCACTCCCTCCTGTCAACATCACCCTGCAGCATCTCTTGTCTCCAAACTACCCTGCACCCATATCCCCCTACTCCCTGCCAGCCACAGACTGAACTCAGAGCCTGGAAGAGTGAACTCCAGGCTGTGCCAGCACCAATGCCCAGGGCCTGGAAAGCACCTAGCATCCCCAAAACCAGCCCCAGGAGCCATGGCACTCTGCAAACGCAGCACTGAAACAGTGACCCCCTATTTATCCATATTGGGGAAAGGGGGGGAATTGATCTCAGAGGCAGTAAAAGGTTTGAGGAGAATTGATTTTTCTCTCTCAGAGATAGAAAGAGGTGGGAGGGAGGGGGGACGAAGAAGGGAGGGAGGGAGTGGGGAGGCCTTGGCCCCAGCGAGCACAAAACACTGCTTTAAAGATTGCTTCTCTTTTGGACTTTTTCCTTTTTGGGTTTTTTTTTTTTGGTGTGGTTTTCTTTTTTTCCCCAAAGGGCAGCTGTGATTTACAGCCACCAGACGGGTTTGCTGCCCTGCCAGTGTGTTGCTCTGGCCCCATCATCCCTCAGAGGATGAAGACAACCTGGCCCCAGGGCCATGCACCCCTAGACCCTTGCAGGCAACTCATGAACCCTGCAAATTCCAACCCCAACCAGCAGAATACCCTGGGCACAGACAGAAACCAGCAAGTGGGCAGGGAGCTGTGCTGGCATCCCCAGCCACTCATGGGGTCGAGTCCAGGCTGCAGCTGGCAGCAGTTTTCTCGATGGCAGGCATGGCCCAGGAGGGATGAGCTGGGCTGCACCGGCTGCCTGCCTTCCCTTAGAATTAAAAAAAGTCAATCAAATATTGACAATTAAGACAAATAACTGAAAACGCCGGACTCGATGTTAAGTCGGCTGTAAAAATGTCAGCGTGGGGAAAGGGGTCATCTGCAAAAATAAATCAACCCCCTTTACACGCCCACCCCCAAAAATGAGACAAAAAAAAAAGCAGAAGGAAAGGCTTGGGGAAGGAAGAACTTTGCTGCAAAAGTAGATTTCTAAATAACATTTGGGGGGAGTCTTTTTTTTCCCCCCTTTTTTGAGGTGTTGGTGGGGGAAGCTTAACGTTTTCAACTCTATTCTTTCATTTAAGTGACAGATTTATCCCAGTAAAATTATGTTTCATGCTCAAACTTTGAAGGGAAAGTGGCTACGTAAATGCTGAAAAAATGCAGCGAGACACACTTGATCCCCCAACTGGACTGCGAAGAGGAGAAAGTATTCAGGAAATGTTAAAAAAGGTGAAAGTAAGAAGCGTTTTAATAGTTCTTCCAGACATGGGGGCCTCCCTAGAGATTCATACAGAACAATCCTGAACCTCTATTTTAACATTTACAGACTTGCAACTCTTTTAAAACTTTACATCTGAAAAACTGCTTGTTCTCTTTCTGGTTTAGATCAGTCTTCATTTTCCTCCTTAGCTCTTCAAATGCTTAACCTTTTTTTATTGCATTTTAATAGAGTTTTTCAAGCCACCACAAGTCCCCTCCTTCTGGCCTTATTTAAACCTGGTCGTTATTTAAATATGCACTAACTGTTTTTTAAAATCCAGGCATTAGACGTCTAAAACAAGATGGGATTTTTTTCTTTTCTTGGGAAATTAACTACTGCCCTTTCAAGCTAGAGCTGCTCTGGGGTGGGAATAATTCATTTGGAAGATTAATGCTGGATGTATGGAATATCACATAGATGGAATCTGCACTGTGCTTGCACTGCTAACGTCCAGTATGAAATTTTCAGCCAAAGCAAAATGAAGAAAAAACAAAAAAGAACAATATTCAAAACAGAAGGGTAAAGAAGAAAACTGTTTCTACTAATGTCCCAAAGCAAGAAAAGGAAATTGCAGCTAATACCAAAGAAAACCACTTGTGATCCCTACATACAGCACACAGGAACACAGGCACTTCCCTGACCCAGGCGCAGGATCAGACCTCCTGCAGCCGGCCCCGCAGAGCGCCGGGGCTCGCTGGCCCCACTGAACTCTGCGCTGGACTGTCCTAATGTGTCATTAGAGCACACACCATCAGAGTATTTGGGCTTTGAGTGTCCTCAGTGGAGTGATCGGTCCCCCTGTCCTGGAGAAGTTGGAGGTTTTGGAGAGAGGGTGCCAGGGTAACGGCAGAAGGGCTGTGGCAGAGTGCAGGCTCTCACACTTGTGGAGTGCCTGCTTTGTTTCTGGAGATGCCACAGGATCATCGCCCGCAGCTGACTGCCTCCCTGACCCTGTTTCACATTTGTTTTGAGAAGGGAGGGATGGGGCTACAGAGGGAAAATGCCACTTCAAACAGTCCTAGTTTAGGGAAGGCTTCCACAGTAGCCATTCCCCCTTTCTCCTTTCTGCCTCTTCTTTTTCAACTTTACTTCTGAAGTCTCGGGGATTCCCATCCCTGCTAAGAGCTGGGATGAAATGACTGATGACACTCAGGATGCTGCAGCACTGAGCCCTCCGAGTCAGGTGCAAACCAAGAATAAAAAGGAAAGGAGCAGAGTCCATCCTGGCAGCACCAGTCCCCTCCCTCAGCATAGGGAACCTGCCCTCACCTTGAATCACGCAGCTGCTGATCGCTGACCCCTATGTTCTCCCTTTACAAGCCCCCACAAGCCGAATGATTTTAACGATTTCTGGCTAACAAACAGGACGGAAATCATCAATCGCCACACTGGGCTGCAAACACCTCCCCAGCTCCCCCCTCTTGCCTGCCCACATCATGTGTCCTTACCGTGCACATCCCCATCCTCTGCCATCGCATTGATTTTCTTGTTGTCCAAGATCTGCACATGTTTCCCACTGGTCCGGCTGTACAGCTGGTAGGTACGGACGAGCCGCCGGCTGAGCTGATCCGTCACCAGGCTCTGCTCCCTCACATGCTGTGTAAAATTAGGTGGGGACTGAACAGTTACCTTTAGGAAATTAAAAAATATACAACACACCATTATAATCTCTACTCCTCAGCGGGGCAAATGGGCTGAGCCGAGATCACCGGCCTCCAGCTGAGCGTTACGGGGAGGCAGGCAGCCGGGACCGCGGTGGTGCCTCCTGTGCCATCAAAGCCTCTCTAGGAGGAGTGTTCAGCTCTGGGACACAATAACCCTTTACAGAGCTGTGCCCACTCCAGACATGCCCTAAGGTGACTCAGGAGTACGACAGAGCTTGGTGACCCCAGAGGGCCCCCCCAGCTCTCAGTGGGTCCCTGGCACTGAGGTACCCAAGATGGGCATCAAGGCTCAGAGCTAGAGGGATTGCAGGGGGGGCACGCAGGATGGCACAACCCCAAGGGGCTGATGTTTGCATCCACACCTCTCTCACCTCTGCAGGAGCATACTACTGCTCCAGCTGCCCTGGGCACATACCCCAGCCACTGCCCCATCAGTTTCAACAGCTGCCTTTCCTCTGGGTCCCAGGCTCTTTATTTGCTCCCAAACACCACACTTATTAAGCTCTTCAAATGCAAAATCCGCAGAGAAGGTAGAGTTATGAGGTATAAGAATTACAAGAAAACCATACCCCAGCCCAGGTATTCAGTGATATAACAGCCCAAGGATACTAACATGCTACCCATGCGAACACATCCCTCATCCACAGTCAGCTGTTTGGTGCCAGCAGCAGGGATGTCTCCAGCCCCAGTACACCAAACCCGCTAGCCCTGGAGCCGCAGCTGAGCCCATCCCCTCCAAACCCGACACTGCTGCTCCTAGCTTTAAATGATTTTCATGAGCAGCCAAACCTGCTCCCCCCTCAGCACTGGATCACGAGCTGGCACAGAATTCTTTTTCCCCCCTCGTCTCAAATCCCTCTTTTAAGTCTGGAAAGTTTCGCTGCTCCCTGACATTTATAAAGATGTATTCTGAGCAAATGTTAGGAGATAGCTCCTTTCAACATCAGAAGGCTGGGACTACCCCCCACCACCCCCACGTCAAATGGGAAGATTTCCTCCTGTCTTAAACAACAACAGAAAACCACAATAAAAGCAAAAGCCGCTGCTCTCCCAAAGCTGGCTTTATAGAGATATCTCCCCTTGACAATGTCATCTCTCTCCCTCTGCTTCTGCCTGTGCATGTGTGTTTCCTATAGACGGGTTTTGGATAATGCAGCAGGATTCTCTCCCCAGCTCTGATGAGGGTACCATGTGGAGGAGAGGTCATTAGCCATGCTGCTATTTGGTCTCCATCTCATACTTCAAAATATTACAGCTATGTTTTTATACAACTGCACACTCCCAGTGCTTCATTCCCTTCACTTTTCAGCTGGAAACTCAATTTTTTCCCCCCCAAGCTTCCAGGAAAATAATAATAATAAAAAAGTAGCTTAAAGGGCATTTTAAACGAAGCTTCTGCACCTGTGATCTCAGGGGGAAGGGGGGCTTCACCCCAGTTTGGAGGTGCACCTCTCCCAGCGACATGTGCCTGCTGGTATGCGGGTGTTGCACAGGCTCTGCTGTTTAATCTATTCGTGTCACTTCTGTCTCTGGCAATACAAACCAGCGATGTTAAAGTCTGACGATTTTAAACTGAACCAAAACCTGTGCTTTTTACTAAAGTTTTGGTGGGGTTTCTTTTCCCCCTTTTAACTCTGCTTTAATTTTTGGATAAAGTAGCGCAGGGGAAAAAAACAGACAAGAAGAACGGGGATATCCACAGTGTAATTTAGAAGTCGGGGGGACGGGATTTAAAGCTACTTAAAGATAACCCTGCGCATTTCCTTGAAATCCCAGTACTCCCTGCCTCGCAGCCCGAGTCCCCAGCACCTTATTTTGTGGCCCGGGCAAGGGGGTGTTCCCCCTCAACCACAGCTTTTTACGGCCAAGCGACTTTTGTCTCCTGGGTTCTAAACTGTTCCTCTTTCCTGTCTCCCTCCCTGCCGAGCCGCTCGGCGGCGGCGGGGCACCCCCCATCCCCGCGGAGCGAACAAAGCCGGGCAGCCCAGCGGGCACTTACCTGGGCTTGCAGGCAGAGGACGAACAAGTGCATTAACCTGGGAGGGGGAAAAGCGGGAGAGAGGTGTGAGCCGCGGGGGCTGCGGGCGCGGAGCGGGAGGGCTGGGTCTGCCGGTACTCACACGTAGCTGAAGAGCGAGGAGCAGGGGTCCATCGCGGCGGCGATGCGGAGCCGGGGGCCCGGGGCCCGGCGGCGGCGGGGAGCGCCCGCGGGGGCGCGGCGCTGCCTCAGCTCCTCGGTTCCTCTCGCCCTGCCGGCACGTCCTCGCCCCGAGGAAAGGAGGGCACAAGCGGCTACAGAGGGGAAAGGCCCCGCCGGCCCTCCCGCCCGCCCAACCCCCGGGGCGCTCGGCCGGCGGCCGCTGCCGCGGGGCGCCCCCCGCCCGCTCCGCTCCGCGGCCCCGGGAGCCGGCCAAGCCGACCCGCAGCCCCGACGGCGGGGGCGGGAGCGGCCGGGGGGCGGCAGCCGCCGCGGGGGAAGCCCAGCGGGACCCCCGCTCCCCTCCCCGGCCCGGCGGTACCTGCCGAGGCGGTACCCACGGGCTGCGGGCCAGGTGTGGCCGGGGCTGGCTCGGAGCTGCCACTAAGGGCCGGGCTCCGCGGTCAGTCGCCGGCAAGACTCCCTCCCCACTCTGCGCCTCAGTTTCCCCATCCGTAAAACGGAGTTTAAGGGCTGGGAGGGTGGGACGCGGACGCGGTTGGTCCCGCTGGGGGTTCGCCGCTCCGCGAGCGCATTGTGGATTGGGAGAGGACGAGCGAGCCCTCCCGGGACGTGCCAGACATTAAAAGGATTACCGGGGGAGGGGGATGGAGGGGGCCGGAGTTTCGAGAAGGAGTGAGGCTGAGCAAATACCGCAGCTGGGGTGGGAAGAGAGGAGCAGGACACCCCCTGCTTCTTCCCGAGCATCCCTGCCGGGCGCTTACCTTGTGGAGCGGGCGGGTGCCCTCAGGGCCGGCGGTGCGGGGCCATGGGGCCAGGCGGCGGCGGGACGGGGCTCAGCCCCGCAGCCCGGGCAGGGCCGCCGAGGGCTGCATTGTTCCGGCGAGCCCCGACCCTCCCGGCCCCGCCACCTGTTGCGTACCGGGGCGGGGGCTGCGGCGGGGCTGCGGCGGGCGGCCCCCGGGGCCGGTACCTGGCCGGGGCCGGGGCCGGCGCCGCCTGCTCGGCGCTGAGTGACAGCTGCTAATTTGCCGGCCGTGCCCCGCTGCCGGTCCCCGCGCTCCCCGCGCCCTCCTTTATCTTATCAGAGCCCATAATTACAATTGCTATTTTGCTTCCTCGAATCAGCAATCAGCGCTATCTGCCGCCGTTGGAGAGGCAGCTCCTGTCAGCCGCCCCTGAGTGACAGCGCGGCGGCTGCCCCGCCGCACAAGCACACACACCGTGCACGGCCCGCCTGCACACGCACACAGTCCTGCACACGCCTGTGCAGCCCTCCTGCACACGCACATCCATGCACACAACCCTCGCACACACACACGCATTCTCTGCAGTCCCTTTCACGCGTGCACAGCTCACACACGTGTGCAGCCTTTCCCATGAGGAACCCTCCTTCCCACACCCCTCACACACCATGCACCCCCAGCACAGACACATACGCTCCTCTTTGCTTACCCGTACCCCCAAAATATACCGCTACGCCTCACACACACACATACACACACACCCCAGCTGCAGCCATGGAACATTTCTCTCTCTCACGTGCAGACACTGGTACCCTACTTATGTGCTTTACCCCTTGCTCAGGCACCCAGAAACTCTAGACAGAAGTGCACTCCCAGCTCTCCCCACCACACAGTTAATGTGTTACCCCAAAACACTGCCTAATGGCACCTCTGGGAATGGATCTCCCACAGGTCTCACCTGATCTTGTCCAGCATCCCCAACTCTGAGGGGTGCAGAAGGCAAGCAGGGGAGTCTGAGCAGTACCCCATCCCTGGGCTGACCCCACAGGGTTCAAGGAGAAAAACAGGCCCTACATCAGTATCATCAGTCCCAGCACAGCACAGGGCCAGCAAATGCCTTGTGCTGGCCAAAATTTCCTACAAAATCAGCCCCTTGTTCATTTTCATTTTCCTTCCTTTTTTTTTTTTTTCTGTGCAAAAGGTCATAAGGATGTTTTGGGAGGGGGGGAGGGGGTCTACATGTAGAAAACAGGCAAAGTCTGTGTTTAACTGGAAACATTTAGGGGCACCACAGAAATGGGCAGGATGGGCACTGAAGGCTGAAGCAGAAGATGGTTTTCAAGGGCAGCAAACACAGATTTTCAGTCCAGTACATGGTCAGAAAAAAACCCTCCATGTTGAGCTGTGTGAATAGCTGATGTACTCCAGCACAGGTGGTACATATCCACCTCTTCAGGCTGCCTAAGGAAAACCAGGCAAAACCAGAGCAGGAAGCACTAGATACTCCTCATACTCTAAATCTCTACATTCAGACAATCCTAATTTTTTAATATATTAAAAATTCAAGGGATTTAGGCATTGTCTATTTTGAGGATGTTGTTCTTCCTCACGAGTGGCCACCTCTGCTTTACCCCTGGTGGGCACAGTTTCAAGCCACACGTCACCCTGCACACCACACTCTACTCAATAGCACCGTGTCCAGAACAGCCCAGGCTGCCTTAAATGGGGAGATTTATGGTGTCCGTGTACAGGGTCAGAGGCAGCCGCAAGCTGACAGTCCCGCGTGCCCCCTGCCCTCAGCAAACAGGCTCAAGTGCCAGTCATGGCTGTAAAATCAAGCTGGTGTGGGATCACCCAGGGGTGGCCACACTTCGTCTGACAGCGGATGACTGACGACACTCCTGCCAGCCATCCTCAGGCCCACAGCCAAAGCCTCCACAGCCCCTATCCTACCCTACCTTTGGGAATGGAAAAGACACGAGCAGGTTGGTGACAGCAGCCAGAGACAGGTAACATCACAGCTGCTGGGCTCATCCCACCTCTCCTGCTGTCTCAGCTCGTGGCCACAATCTGCTCCTTGCAGGGAAGTTGGCTGCCTTCAGATAGGCATTTGCCTTCTTCCCTTGGGCTTCACAGCCCACCCATGCTTGCATCAAGAGTGACACACACCTCTGCTTTTGTTTTTTAAGAAAAAACAAACCTTTTTAGATAGGCGCTCTCCTGTGCCAGGCAGCACAAGGGAAATCAGTCTGCCTGTCAGCTCCTTCACAGGCCATCTGAGATAAGACCCCTGGTCCCCAGGGTGAGGGTCCCCTCCATTCCCAGGCACTGAAGCTAAATGGCTTGTCTGGCTCTCCTGTGGAGAAGAGAAACTATGCCCTCTGCTCCTGAGACCAGCTGGGCCTCAGGTCAAACTGCTGTGGAGCCTGTGGAAGAAAGTCCTTCTTTGTCCCCAAGAAAGACCTGGGGACCTGCTGTGCCCCCAAGTGCTCCAGCAGCCAGTGGGCTGTGGTCCCTGTGGGAGGCTACTAGCATGGTCCCATCAGATCCTATCCTGCTGTCCCACTGCTCCACTGTCCTGATCTGCAGAACTGGGACCGTGTTTAGGCTGGTCAGGCACAGGAATTATTTTCTTCAGAGAAAGCTCATGTACGTAATGTTCTTCAGGGATGCTAAATGCTGCAGATGAAGCACCAGATAACAGAGACATTAGCTGCAGCCCTCCCATCCCTTTTCCCGCAAAGCTGAGGGTACCAAGATGCAGCTGCAGGGCTACAACACCAAGAAGGAGCAGAGAGAGGAACCAGGACATGGAGATGTCTGTCCCAGCCTGGCTGGGGTCCAGGCTTGCTCTCAAACTTTTCCTTCTCTCTCCCCTTTGTACCCCACATAGAGCCTCCTGGCAGTTGGGAAGTGTGAAGGCAGCTCCTGGAGCAACCTAGACTGCAGTAAGGCAGTAAGCTGACCAGGAGAGGACTTGGGATGGAAGGGGCAGCAGGTGAGTGACTGTGAGACTCTGGAGTAGTCTGTGCCCCTGTACAGCAGTGACTGAAGAGAGCACAGGGGGTGTTGTGGGAGGCTCTCCTTGTTCCCCCAGTGATGCTCAGCACTGAGCCCCCTAGTCCAGGGCCACCCCAGCACCATCCCTGCTCTCTCCCAGGATGTCCCTTTGTACATCTGTAGGATACAACTGGGTTCCAGCTTCAGCTTCCAGCCTGCTTCTTCATCATCCTCATCTGGCCCAGTCCAGGTCAGAATTGGTCCACTGACACCCTTCTCCTTGTGCAGAGTGAGGGATGGCAGCATAAGATGCTGTTCCCCACAGGATATCAAAGCCAGCAAGGTATACCTGTTATCAGCTCTTCCCTGAGCTTCAGCCTGAAACCTCCCCACAAGCATCCCTTATTTCAGAAAGGCAGAGCCAAGAAAAACAACACCAACCACAGCTTTAGGGGCAACCAGTCCAAACAGGGCTGAGTGGAGACAAGGGCTCCTAGCAAATTGGGAGTTCACATCATAAGAGGAGGCTGGGAGAATTTGGGGTGAGTGGAAGCCAGCAAGACACCCGTATTAGTTTTGCCTTTAACACCTCTTTTAGGGGGACTATCAGCAGACAGTTTCAGGCAAAACTATCTGTTGGAGAAGGAACCGGGACATTGCTGTCACTCCCAGAGAAGGGCCAACAAGCACAGTTCCCTGCTCCTGCCAGGCCATGGACATAGACAGGACCAGAGCACTAATCTCACCTGATGCAGGAGAGCAGCACTAGTAGTAGTCTGAGCTGGCTGGAGGGTGAGGAGAGCTCCTCTCTGCAGGTGCAGAGGGCTTGGACGGTCTGCACAGCAGTTGCCTTTGAAGGAGGACAGACAGTGCCGGCAGTGGGGTGGCTGGCACGGGGCTGAGGGTTAGCCAAAGGCTGAGGCACACAAAGGTGAGGACACTGAAGTGCGGGCAGCACTGCCCTGCACCCAAGCATCTCCCTGTGCTCCAACACCATAGGAAGGAGAGCCAAAGTGCACAACACCCAGGATCCTGTGATGCTTTACATACTTTCCTGGAGGATGCTTAGCCATAAACCAGCTTTTGCCACCCCAAGATAAACACACAGAGGCTTCCCAGCAGAGCCGGAGGGATGCTAGTCCATTCCACCCTCACCCTTCCCAGCCCTGCAGCCCAGTGCCCCCAGCCCTACCTGCTGATCCTTCACCACAGCTTTAATGGGGCGTTTCAGAGGCAACAGCAGCTCCTCCATGGCTGAGCAGCACAGAGCAGCCTGGGGCAATCCCGCTGCTCGCCATTAACCTGCCCCCACCCCCCAAAGGGAAGGAACTTGGCCAAACCCCACTGGGATGTGTTACATGGGAATGACCTTGTCTTCACTACCCACAGCACCAAGACAGCCCCAGGGCAAACGAGGA